ACCTTTATACTAAAACCAGCACAGACATATTATAGAGTACAAAAGTCATGTGAATTTTTAACATATTAACTAGAGATTTCAAGGCAACTGCTTGCTTGCAAGGCCCGCTTTAGACACTAAACTATCTGCTGACCACTGAGAACCAAGACTCAATCTTCTTTGTAATTAGTCTGAGTCAGAAGAAAATTTTAAAGCACTACACCAAGCATCCATCAAAGCACCAGGAACTTCATACCTGCAACCTGTCAGGGGGTGCCTACCCTCCTTGTGCCTAGCTTCCCTTGGGTCCTAATCGACATGAATCAGAAAGCTGAGCAACATCTCATTCTTTTCCAAAGGGTCCTGGGTCTTGCCACTGACTGTTGGGTTCACCCAGCTTAGGGAAACAAAAAAAACCCATCACACTGAATTCTTACATGTATTCTCTTGGCCATAAGTCCCCCCACATCCCCGACTCTAAGCGTTAAGAGAATCACAGACAAGAGTCCCAGCTTCAACATCAACACCCACAGCCTTTACAGTATAGGCCTCTGTCAGAGAACACACTGCACTCTTTCCATGGAAGGAAGTCAAGAAATAGGGCACATCTCTTGGGAGAGGGTGTCCCTTGTGTCCACAATACAGGGGTGGAAACTTTTTCTATTGTTGTAACTGCTTTTGTTATAAAAACAATAATATCCACATGACAGTGAGCCGGGAAATTTTTTTTTATAAAGAGCCACTACTGACCATAGAAGAAAAGCGGGGAGGGGAGGGGAGGTGGAAATCAATGGAAGGCCACACAGAAAGAAATAAAAAGCAATTTAATTGGGTTTGGTTTGTTTGTTTTGTGTATAAAACACATACCCACACATGGAAAGAGAGTGAACTCAACTGACTGTAAATTAAGAACAGAGAAGATTAATTTTTAATAGCGGTAAATGTATTAAAATATACTACAAAGCTGTATTATTGATGGTCAAGAAAGAATGGGGAGGAGGGTAAGAAGAAAGAGAAAGATTCAGCAGGAGGAGAGAAAAAGAAATATATAGAGGAGGGAAACGTGGGAAAGCAAGAAAGAGAGGACAGTGAGACACACAGACACACAGGCCCATCCCTGCACAAAAAGAGGGAACAACTCAAGCAATCTAGAGACACTTCTGAGGCCTGACCAAGGAGCCAAAGTAAACTACACCACACAGGCCAGCTGTTGGCTCGGGCTATAGACTTCAAAGTATTATCACCTTTCATCCTTGCCTTTGAACGGCTACTGATCCGGTTAACCACTATTCACAGCTCTTTAATTGCTCATTGAAACATTCAGAGACTTAGCTCAGGTCCCAGGCCAGAAGCTCCCTGCACATGGGCTACAGTCAGTCAATCAGCCAGCTCCAGGCTTGCCCTCTGAAAAGGGAGTATGTGAAACACTATCTCATAAAACATACAGAACCCCGGTGAAAGTTTGAGGAGAAAACGCTGCTTGAGTTGAAAAGAGATTCTTTGGAGAACTTTCTTTCGTTTTGCATTGTAAAAAAAAAAAAAAAAAAAAAAAAAAAAAAAAAAAAAACTGGGACTGAATTAAGCAGAACTGGGTCCCACCTCAGCATTCTCTGGCCTCACCGCCAGCACACCTGACTTCCCACATGTTCAAGTTCCATGTGGCCCAGTGGCTCCAAAGGCCTCAGCTGACCCTACGGCAAAGCAGCCTCTACCACACTCTGCAGGCTGAGGGTCAACGGGAGAGATCCCAAGGACACTCAACGGCCACCCCAAGCCCAAGCGGGTCCACCCACTCCCACCCCTATCTAAACCAAGCTACTTCTTGTTTCCTTCACTCCAGGGCTGAGGAAATCTGCTCTCTCCCAGCTGGCAAAGGCCCCCTTTCAGCTCCGTCCCTCCCTCCTCCAAGCTTGGAGGCTGTGTTTTCCCCTTCCCCACCTGACCTGCCTCCAACCTCTCTCCTCTTCAACCGTGTTTCCTCCTCACTTTCTCCATCCCATTTTAGAATCTCAGAGAAGGAGGGAGTAAGAGCTACATCAAATCACCACACCTCGGTTCCTGTCCCAGCTTTGCATCTTGCTACCTATGTGACTTTGGACAAATCACCAAACCTTCCCAACCCCTCAAATTCCTCAGTGAGGGGGGAGAAACCTGGCAGTCACAGGTTTCTTCCAATGCTCATTCTCTAAACCCTGAATATTCACCTGTATAACTGCAAATAAAGCAGAGAGTTAAACATACACAGAAAGGAGGAATGAATTCTAAAAACTCCTTTTCCTGAGCATTCTGCCAATTCAAGTCACCCCAGTCAACCTCCAGAGAGTCTGTGCCCCCCATTCCAGGCCATTCTAGCTCTGAACTATTTACATACAGTAAATCCTCATCAATCACACTAATCGAGGAAAAGTTGAATCTGAAGCCATCAGAGGTCTGAGTCCTGGAATACTTCTTTCATGCCATTGAGCAATACTATGACTTTAACATCGTTTAGCAAACAAAAAGGAATGTTAAAATGCCCTCACAAACTGGACTTGTGAATCTAAGAACAGTGATGCTGTCAGGAACCTGGGAAAATAGTCTACTCCAAAGCCTTCTGCTTTTTATTCCAACAAGGACACAGGCCCAGAGCATGGAAGCCACAAGCCCAAAGCCCAAAGCAGGTCGGTGGCCAGGATCAAAGCCAGCTGTCCCGCCTCTGGTCCCAAGCTCCTTCACCAAAGTTTTTTGGGACCATCCATCTCCTTTTAGAGATGGATTAAATCCTAAATGACCACTGAGTGCCCTCTACAGCAAATCTATTTCCACGTCCAGCGAAGGGTCCAGACCTAAGTTTGAATGACCAGATGATTACCAATGCTGCCTGATAAAAAGCCTTCTTTCCTGAACCCTGCCCATTCATACTCCATGAAGAAAACCCCAGAGTCTGCTATCTATATGGAACTCTATTTTAGGGAAGGGAAAATAGGGGAAACGCTGAACAGTTCTTTGTTCTGCAATTAAGAAGCATCTGCTTGTCCCCTCCCAGGACTCCAACCTCACCCCCATTATTCCCAATCCCTTCAGAAAAGTTCACAGAAACTGTCCAACTAGCAGGAAAGAGAGCAGGTAAGAGGAGGATCAGGCCAACAGGGGGAGTGAGCTTGAAGGGAAGATGACAATACCCTTCCCACCTCTTGGCCCTGCAGGGTAGAAAGCATTTCTTTTCAGTTGCTAATTCCCTGCAGGGAAGTCACCAAAAACAGCTAAACTCAGGGCCCTCCAGCTGAGAAATGAGCTCTCTGCAACCCCAGAAGAGCTACCCCTTTGCTAACCGTCCACTCTAAAGTGCGCAGGGCAAAGGTGCCAACAGACCCACCCTTCTCTGCCATCCCCTCAGGCCAAGAGCCTGAGACAGCAGAGCTTGGCTGGCAAGGAGCTATTTAAGGCAGCATCAAGAGGGTGGGGCAGAAAAATTGCTAGCAGCATCCTCTTCCTCCACCCCTCCCTCAAGCCAACACACACACACACACACACACACACACACACACACTCCCAGTGGGTAGACAGCCATCTACCTCACCTGCGTCTCTAACGGCTGTAGATCTGGAGTCTCCAAATGTCCAGCATGTGCTTTCTGTCATTGAGGGTGCTGCCCCCATCTGCTCCCCACCCCACTTTCAATCCACCCCCTTCTCTTCAACCACCACCAAGCTTCCTTTCCATCAAAAACATAAAACTGAATCTAAATAGAGGAGCTCAAAAACCAAGGAGAGTGGAGACAGACAAGCCATCCCTGGCCTTCATTTATGAAAGGAAAAGGGGCGTGTGTGGTGTGGGGGGGTGATGTCAGAGGCCTGACTGCCAGATAGGTTCCATGATGTCTCTAAATGAACCTCCCCCCTATTGACAGTGAAATCAATTCTGGCAATTTCAGCAGGTCGGCCCTGTGACAACAGGAGCATCCCAGCGCTCAGTTTAAAACAAAAATCCAAAGGTTCAGCCAGAACATGCTGGGAAAACACGGGGTCTGGATAAAAGGAGCCACGCTCAGTGGGATCCCTTCTGCTTTTATGTAGCACTGTAGCAGCGTAATAAATTCTGCCTACCCGAAGAAAGCATGCACTGGTGAATTTCAAAGCCATCTTACGACAGCGGATGCAGGGGGGATGCAGAATTCGACAGCACATCCCCCCATGAAAGGTACATAATGACTTCGGGCCTCTCTCCCCCTCTACCTTGAACGGCGCTATCGCTTATTAAGGAAGCCACATCGGAAAGCAGCCAGGTGGGAGCTAGGGATGCCCGGGGAATTCGGAGAAAGGAGTTGCTTTCCGTCCATGTCGGTGATGAGCTGCCTAGCGAGATGCTGCCAGTCACTCTGGGGGGATGAAGCAGCATGGGCGGATGGGCACGCACGGCGTTCCCCGACCCACACACGCACCCGCTCATTCAGGCGGGTCCTAGGCCAGACCCTTCCTCCTAGCGCCCCTCTCGCCGCCCTCTCCTCCCGGGGGATGCTGATGAATGAACACACCTGCGATGCCTCCATCCTGCCGCTCGCTCCCTCCTTCTCTGGCTGCTGCAGAGGAGCCCCTCCGCGGTAGTTTCACTTTACAGCACAAACCCACCCGGGCTTTGATGTCTCCTCCACCCACCCATATTGCAGCCAGCCTGAAGCAGGCGGACATTCTCTCCTAGCAGTGGCCATGATCGCACGTACCCCCACCCACAAAAAAAAAATAAAATAAAACCTGAATCCCGGGGACCCCCGCACCCTGGGGAACTTTCCTGGAGGGACCGGGGATCCATCCAGCAGGAAGGAAGGTCCGGCCGAGGGGGACCACGGCTTTCCCCGTGACCACGGGGATGCTCTGGGGAAGGCGTTCCCCAAGTCCCTCCAACAGCTGGCCCTTTAAACGCGCCTCCTCCGAGCGCGGAACAAAGGCGCCGCCCGCGGGGGCCGGGCCGCCACACGCCCCCGGCGCCGCCGCCGCAGGTCTGGAGAGCGCGGGCGGGCGAGGGGGAGGCTGGCGCGGGCTTACCTTGCGGGTCTCGGGGCGGGCGGGCGGCGCGCGTCCTGCCCCACTCGCACTACACGCTGCAGTTGGCCCCGCTCTGTTTTTCTGGGACTCGGCGCTGACTTCACCGACACTCCGCTGCCGGCCAATGGGCTGTGGCGGCCGCCCCCTCATTAGCATGCGTCTGGAACCGTCCACTCCGGCAGCGCCCGGGCGGTGGGCGGTGCTAGGGGGTGGTGCTCGGTCCGGCCGTGACAGGAAGGGGCGTGTGCGCCAATGGGAGGCGAAGAACCGCCCTGCCGCCCCGCCCCGCGGCATTGTGAGCGGAGAGCGCGGGCCCGCGGATCCTCCGCGACTAGGCGCGCGCGGTCTCAGTAACCCTTTCTGTCCTGGCAGGCCACTGGCTGGGCCCTAGGCTGGCCCCGCGCGCCCTCTGGTCCTTGAGAAGGCTCCCTCGTGGAGAGCTGGGAAGGAACCTAGGGCATAAAAAGAACAGCTAACGTGTCTGGAGTGCATATATTACTTACCCCGTGCCCAGTTTGCTCACCTGTAAAATGGTATAATAGTAGGTTGTAGTGGGCATCTGGGTGGTTTAGGCGGTTAAGCGGCTGCCTTCGGCTCAGGTCATGATCCCAGAGTTCTGCGATCCGGTTCCGCTCCACCTCCCTGTTCCACCGGGAGTCTGCTTCTCCCTCTCCCTCTCCCTCTGCTTGTGTTCTCTCACTCTCTCTCTCTCAAATAAATAAATAAAATCTTTTTTCAAAAATAGTAGGATGTAGTGAAGATTAACATAGTTAACCTATGTAAAGCATTTAGATCAGTGTCTGGCCTTTTTGCTACATAAATGTTTGCTACTATCATAATTATACTCTGTATCAACCAATGTGCTTAATGCTTCCTGGATATTTTCTCATTTTATCCTCAGAGCCTTAGAAAGAAGGCACTGTCACTAATCCCTATTTTTCAAGTGGGAAAACTGTTGAGGTTTAAGTGGCTTGCTCAAGGTCACACAGAAAACAATGCAACCAAGATCTGAACTCAGGCTCTGAGATTTCATTCATGCATTGGACACACATTCAGGGAGGCAAATGCTTGTCCCTGGGGTTACAGCAAAAAACAGGGACGCTTCCCTTCATTAGGCTTCCATTTTAGTGAGGGAGACAGGCAAGTGAAAAAATCATCTGCAAAGTGAAACAGAGTAAAGAGAATAAAACAGGGCAATATACCAGTGAAGAGAAGTGTACTTTTTTGAGTTCAGAGCTAACTGCCACTGGGCATACCATCCAGACCTCCTCCAATACCCCCTCAGTGTTACAGGAGAGGAATCAGAGAGGAGAAGCTGCTTACCCAAGGTCTCAGGGCCAGTAAGCAGGCACACCTAGCTCCCAACAACCCCGGGACATCCCTGAAGGTAGAACAGTCATCCCCTGGGCTGAACAAAACTGACTTTTGTGAGCTGCCATTGACAAGAATCTTCAGCCAGAGCACGTTCCCAGTTAACAAGCTGTGTGGTGAGGTAAAGACAGGCCTTAATGACTGCACAGGCTGATGGGAAACACATCTGCTAAGGTTCTTAGATGTCAAGGAACAGTGACGAGTTTTTGCTGAGCATCGGCTGTCCTCTTCCATGTAAAGAAAAAAGAAATTTAGAACACTCATAGCCGCCTGGGAGCTCATTGCACAACTGAGGAGACAAGATGCCACCAGGAAACCTCTCACCCTAGGGAACTCCCAGCCCATGTATCCTTCCACTTTCACCTTATCCTTCTGCTTTGCAAAGAAGACTAGATTAGGAATCAGGCTCCCCAGGCTCTGCTATTAGCTTTCTCCCTGATCTAGGCAAGACAGTTCCTTCTGGGCCTGGAAAGTAATAAAATGACTTTCACTCAAGCACAGCTAGTCTGCTAGGCACTGTTCTGTACCTGCACTGAGGGCTTAACAAGCATTAACTCACACCACACAATAACCCCAAGAGGGAGTCCTATACTTATCCTGAGGTTGTCCACAGAGGAGGAAAATAACAGAGAGAGAAACCAGAGAAGTTGCCTCCCTCGAAAACTTAGGGCAATACCATTCAGAATTTAAAAAAAAAAAAAAATTAGAGCAATTCAATGTCCAATTTTAATTGGATAAGAAAACCTTTCTACTAAAACCATATGACAGAACACCATACAGCCACAAAAAAAATGAAAAAGTACAATGATACTGACACAAGAAGATGTACATAATACATTATTGAATAGAAAAGTAGATTGAGGGGCACCTGGGTGGCTCAGTCAGTTAAGCATCTGCCTTCAGCTTAGGTCATGATCCCAGGGTCCTGGGATCAAGTTCCACAATGGACTCCCTGCTCAGCAGGGAGTCTGCTTCTCCCTCTGCCCCTCCTCCTGCTTGTGCTCTCTCTCTCTCTCTCTCAAATAAATAAAATCTTTTTTAAAAAAGCAGATTGTGAGGCACCTGTGTAGCTCATTTGTTAGGCACCTGTGTAGCTCATTTGTTAAGCATCTGCCTTTGGCTCAGGTCATGTTCCCAGGGTCCTGGGATCAAGACCCGCCTCGGGCTCCCTGCTCCACGAGAGGCTTGCTTCTCCCTTTCCCAGTCCCCCTGCTTGTGTTCTCTCTCTCACTGTGTCTCTGTCAAATAAATAAGATCTTTTTTTTTAATAAATAAATAAATAACTCACAGATTGAAAACCAGGTTAATATGCAATCCCATTAGAACAATTTTTATGGGATTGTGAGTAATTGTTTTTTTGCTCATGTATATTTTTATTTTTTTCTTCAAAAACATCTATCAAATTATTTAATTAAAATAAAACAAAATAATTTTAAAATGAAAAACCAGACTCTATCTCTGGAAATTTTATATATAGACAAGTCCATCCTTGTAAGTGGGCAAGTGCTTTGAGGAATCTTAAGTGAGATCTACGTCTTTGAGCCATCCCTCAGATATCGAATTCTGCTGGTTCCAGGCTGTGTGTTTATGAGATAAATGGAAGGACAACAGGGAAGAGAAGAGGGGAAAACAGAGAGAAAGAAAAAATCCTACTATCCTTCGAGACTCATCTCAAATGTCTCTTCCAAGAAGAGTTCAGAGTCATGGTCTAATAACATTAACGCTGAAAGCCACCCAAGAAATCAGCAGGTGTAATTGTGTTCAACTCATTTTTGTCTTCAGTCATTCACTGATTCATTGATTCAAGGGCCTGTACTGGGCTGGTGAGACCTGACTCCCGACCTCCCAAAGATAACCCCTAAGAAAGCAGAGGCCCAGAGAAGGCCAGCTCCATGGGTGCACATTCTGCACTAGAAAGGGTCCCACTCGCGGTTTAGTAGCATCTTTAAATTTTTCATTTCAAGTGAGGGGTCTCACATTTTCATTTTGTAGTGGGGTCTACAAATTCTTGTAAATTCTGGGGCCTGTCCTGGGAAGGAGAAACGCCAAGCCCTTCTCAGTGTATCAGTAATCAAGCCTGGAGTAAAGCACAGCGCTTTCCGTTCTCATCCCATCTCATAGCACAAGCTCATTCCTGGGTTCCCAAGGAAAGTGAGCACCCCCGCCTTCTAGTCCCATAGCACTTCACTTCTTCCTTTCTCGCGGTATTGGCCATATTTGGCATGAACTCACGTACATACGTGTATAGTCCTATTCCTCATCCTCTCTACCCACCAGACTATAAATTCCACGAGGTCCTTGCTTGTGTCTGCTCATCTCCGACAGCACTTAGCATGGTGCTTTACATACTGTAAAAAAGGCCCTTAAACTTAGCCTTATTAGTAACTCCTCATTTTCTCTTCATGGGCATCAGATTATTCCCAGCAGTCCTTCCACTGCTGGAGAGAAATAACAGTATCGGGCAGGAGAGTTGAGCACACAAACCAAGATCATAAACATGCTGTGGGAAGCAGCCCCCAAGCAGGTCGTAACTATGGGAAAGTAGGGGAAGAGGGAGAAGGATTCTGCAGACGACAGCCCAGAGTGGTCAGCATTTCCTCCATCTTTCCAGTCGCACAGACTGTAGGAGAGGGAAACAAACAAGACGACCTAGAGATGGCAGTGAGCATGGTGGTGAAGCCTGTGGACAGAATCCTGTCTCCAACACTTAACATGGAACTCTTGTGTAAGCTCTCGGGTCCCTCCTCTGCGATGCGAGGAACACACAACCCTCTGAGGTTTACTTGAGAGCCATAGGTGAAAGCATGCATGGAAAGTGCTTACACACTGCCTGACCCATAAGCACTCAGTAAGTGGATATTATTACTAATATTACTGGGAGGCCAAGTCATGAAAGATTCTCTCCTAAAATGTGTGGGTTTTGTTAACATGTTTCCCCAGTTACCCAAAAGAAGGACCATAACTATTTTCAGCCATATCAGCTGGAGAACACCAGAATGGGAGAGAAGAAAATAGGATAAGGGAAAGGGAATTATGTACCAAAGAGTTTAGCAGATATATCTCTAAAGCTCTGGTGAGCATTTGTAGCTGATTTCCTTTGTAACATCTTGAAGAAAGTGAACCAAGTAATGGAAAGAGCCAAACTTCCTTAAAGAACAGATTTTCTTGTTTCTTACTGATTAATTACTGAGAAAAAGTGAATCTACACTCTCATGTCTGAGGGCACAGAACTCACATGAAGATCAATGCCAGATCAATGCCAGATCAATGAAGATCAATGCCAGACCCAAGAATTCCACATTCTTTGGAGGTCAGTAAGGAGGTCAGGACTGACAGATAACTGTGTTACTGTGTTAGAGAAGTTTGGTGAGACGGAAGGATGTTGGTCAGAAGTCTATGGGACCATGGAGAAATAAGAGGAGCCATGGGGATCACCATGCTTGGGAAGCTGTGCCAAGATGAGTATGAACTTCAAGAGTTTAGTGACAGGCTTCCATTTATCAATCTACAAACACTTGCTCTGGGGCGCCTGTGTGGCTCAGTGGGTTGAGCATCCAACTCTTGGTTTCAGCTCAAGTCACTATCTCATGGCTTTTGAGATCCAGCCCCACAGCAGCCTCCATAATCAGCAGGGAGTTTGCTGGAAGATTCTCTCCCTCTGCCCCTCCCCCCCATAAATAAATAAATCTTTAAAAATATATACAAAATAAAAACACTTACTCCAGCGTATCTTGTTTTGTTACTTATATAAAAACACATGTATGTAATAGAGTACCAACCTTACACAAT